AGATGGAGTCTTGCTCTGTCACCCAGGCTGGAGTGCAGTGGAGCAATCTTGGCTCACTAAAACCTCTACCTCCCAGGTTCAAGCAATCCGCCTCTCTCAGCCTCCCAAGCAACTGGGATTATAGACGACCCCCACCATGTCCAGCTAATTTTTGTATTTTTAGTAGAGATGGGGTTTCACCATGTTGGGCAGGCAGGTCTAGAACTCCTGACCTCAGGTGGTCCACCTGCCTCAGCCTCTCCAAGTGCTGGGATTACAGGTGTGAGACACCACGCCTGCCTGGTCATATGTTAAATCTATGTTTAATTATTATTATTTTTTAACTGCCATACTGTCTTTCACAGTGGCTGCACCATTTTGCATTCCCACCGATGAGGTTTTCCAACAGCAATGCACAAGGGGTAGGGAGGAATTTTGATCTAGGCAAATTTCTTCAGTACCGGTCACAGGGTTAATGTAAATTTTATTCTTCGTGTTCTAGAAAACCAGTCCAACCCCTCTGAATTTCTCTCATTTTTCCCGCTCCTAATACCCAGCTGCCAGCTCCAATGAGAATGCTTTATCCTAGACTGGGCGCGGTGGCTCACACCTGTAATCCCAGCACTTTGGGAGGCCGAGGCGGGTGGATTACCTGAGGTCAGGAGTTCGAGACCAGTCTGACCAACATGGTTAAAACCCGTCTCAAAAAAAAAAAGAAAAAGAGAATGTTTTATCCTTCAGTAACCTTTTTCTTACAAAGTAAATCAAAATTATGGCCTAAGATTTTTCTGAAAAAAGAGGACTTCCCTATCCCTTTCAGCATCTCTCTTTACCTCTAAAAAAGCTGCTCAGGGAGTAGGTAGAAGTAGGCTTGGGTAGTTGTGCATAGGAGGAGAAGCTGTTTCGGCTCTTTAGCTGTTCACGCCCCTCATGGGTTGACCCGCTATTACCAGCAGTCTCTTTGATGGACCATGAGATACCTGTGAGATAGTAAGAACTACATCAGTAATTCTCATCCACAATAAATCCTTGACATCCAACATTCAACAGAGTCTAAAAGCTTTCCACCAGAAGCCCTGGTCCCTTGGCCAACTTGGGGCAGCGAAAAAAGACAGAATCAAATAGACTAATCAGCAGAAAAATGGATCAAGGACATGAATAAATGGATCACAGAAAAGAAAATCTAAATGGCTCTTAAACATATGAAAAGATGGCCGGGCGCGGTGGCTCACGCTTGTAATCCCAGCACTTTGGGAGGCCGAGGCGGGTGGATCACGAGGTCAAGAGATCGAGACCATCCTGGTCAACATGGTGAAACCCCGTCTCTACTAAAACTACAAAACATTAG